CGTGTCGGCCTGCCTCCGAGTTCCCTGCCTTCGGATTCCCGCCTCGGCTCCGGCAGAGCTCCCGCAATCGGTGGGTCAACCCCCCACAGGGCCGTGGTTCGGGCTTGTGGGTTGCAATCCCACTTGCCGCCTTCCTCTCCCGAACGTCAGACTAGACTGAGAGGAAGAAGGATAGAAAAAGTAAAGTCAGTCTCTCAAGTTTTCAGAGGTGTTCACTTAGACTCGCATGGAGAGGGCCTTGGTGCCTTACGATCCTGAGGGCATTGCGCGGCCAATTGCAACTTGAAGCCAATTCCTGTGTCGTAACACTTCTTGAACGCCAACTATCATAACATTCCCCAATCTTCTGCAGTGTCTTGTATGCAACCACCGCAGCACAAAGGTCCATCAACCGTAGTGAAAGACTGAAACCAGCAATCCGTCAGGTTGCAAACAGCAGTACCGGCAGCATTGGCCTGCTGAGTAGGCCAGCAGTAATACTTGAATATACGGCAACAGCAATGCTCCAACTTTGTAGCAGCAGCAATACCGTAGTGCACAACAGCAGTAGAAGATACAGCAGTAGAAGATACAGCAGTCCAGCAGGAAACACAGCAACTCCAACCCCCGATAGCAGCAACAGTCTAGGCTGCAACAGCGCACTCTTATGTGCTCTCAATAGCATCAAATCATGTTTGTATCGGCGGCACTATGCACAGTCCGTTGCTGCCGAATCAGCACCAGCTCCGGCCCAATCACAGTCACTCACCCGAATACCTCCAATCATCCTTAACAACTTGGGAACAATCAGCATGGGTTCCCCGTTTTGTGCAGCAGTCTGTGGGATGCAACAACTTTCGCCCGAGAAACCAGCAGCAGCAGTCTGTGGGATGCAGCAACTTTCGCCCGAGAAACCAGCAGCATGGTCTGTGGTCAAGCTCACAGCCATAGACTCTCTCACCAAAAGCAAGCAAGAACTGTCAATCTGTTGTTTCCTTGTTGCAGGCAAGTCGCCGGCACGCTGCAGCCCAATACAGACTACGCAGCTTCACGGTCATAGATGTACCTTAGGTAGGCAAGCATCCCAATCTTGTGTCACTGCCGCTTCCTTCTCCTTGCTCAGCTGTTTTTTCGCTTGACTTGTCGGTATCCAGTCATACTAATGGTCGTAATCTATCAACAATGTTGAGTACGACCATCACTGCTGAAGATCCCGACCCTGATGATGAACGCCGCCTGGTTGGAGACCGGCATCACCATGACCTTGACCAGTCGACCACACGGAACAACAGCTAAATCCTGATCACACTGATAAGTACGTAATTATCACAAAAAACATGACGCCTTCGATGAGAAGCACGACCATCGGAGTGAAAACTGGCTCAAGAGCACGATAACTATGGCTGCGGCCTCAATAATGGCAAGTTATGCCCAGATGAAGGGCGTGTGCTGACCATCATCGATGATGACGATTGCGGTAATGATGCTAATCACAATGGCAAGAGAAGAAGAGCGTCGGCATGGCGTCACCCTGCTACTCACAGAATATGCAACATGAGAATGGATCTCCCACTGGAACATGGGAAGATACACAGTCACAATGTAATCAGCTTCGCTCCGTGCCAGGTACGTATTGCTCGTTACTCCCTTGTTGTTCCCTCGCTCTTTTCCTCTCCTTCACTCTGCCTATCACTTCCATGTGGCCATGCAGCTTGCCTGAGGTCGACAACCCGTATGGTTCTGAATTCCCTCACGCTGAGCCTCACTCGACCACTACACATCCGCAGCGTCACTACCCACGGGCTTGAACTTTAGCAGTTTGCTCTCGCTGAGTCAATGAGCAATTCGACGACTTCCGTCCTTGTACAATCGACAACATCAGAAACACACCATATCCAACTTATTTTCAGCAGCACACAACCCAAACACGCTTTACCATATGGGATCAACCCCGATTGCAGCCACGAGCTCCACCCTGTGGTTATGAGCAAAATCAGGATGAATCTTCCCCTAGAATTCGGGAAGATATACCACTATACTTCCTACACCGCTGCACTTCAAGCGGCCAGGTTTGCACGCTTTCCTTTCCCCTTATGTCTCTCTCTCTCTCTCTCTCTCTCTCTCTCTCTCTCTCTCTCTCTCTCTCTCTCTCTCTCTCTCTCTCTCTCTCTCTCTCTCTCTCTCTC